CCTACAGCAATGTGCTAGAAAAAAACAGGTAGTCGGGATAACATTTAGAGGTTTCCTTATGCCATTGCAAAAATGATCCCCAAAGGAGTGTGTGTTTAAATTGTAATGTTTGCCGACAAAGCACCTGGAAATATCCAACATTCATTCAAAAAAAAAATAAAATAAATCAGCCGCAATCTACATAGTAGCCTATTTTTCCTCCTGCGCTTCTTCCTACGGGCTTTGAGAAATCCCCTAACAATGTTTAAAACTGTGCACACAACAAATTCACTTAGTTCCTAAAATCATGTCTTGTAAGGAGAGGGAAAAAAGTGAAGCGCAAATAAGCAGGAGAGGAATGTTTCCTTTTTCTTTCTTTCTTTTTTCCTCCGCTCCTCCCTGCTGTGTAGCCAATACCTGTTTTGCACAGTATGATATAATCCTCTCTTTCTGCTAAATGCCACACGGAATAAGCAGCGCTGACCTTCGGAGACAACAGGGGCCGGATTTGAGGGTATCTGTTTAAAAGCCCGCTGGCATAATTGAGTGAAGCGGCGGGGTGGCCGGCTTTGATGGCGTCTCCGGGTGCAGAGTGCGCCGTCAACGCCCGATCCGCACCCAGACAAACAGGGGAACGCATAGAGACTCAATGGGGTGTGCGCTTGCAGAGCAACTGATGTTGTACTTGGAGGATCTGGGGGACCGGGAGGCTTCAGAGTTGCCACCGGCGCCGTCAGAGCCACCGTCACTCAGACAGAACAAAATAAGTTTGGGTTTGTTTTTCTCTCTCTTTCTCGTCAAAGAAGCCCTCTGGTCCTCAAAGCAGCTCAGTCCAAAACGCCATATTTGATGGAGAATCAAGTCGACCAACAAACCTGCCGCCCCAGGACATCATTAGTTCAATTTTTGGCATTGAAGCCAGCGCTGCGTTGGACAACAAACCTTTCTTCTCCTGCCTGTACCTGCGGTCTTCATGGCAACGGTGCGTGTTTATCTCCCGCTGTAGCTGGCAGGTAGTTGGACCACGAGTCGTATCCTGTATGAAATCTTAATGTGACAGAGTTTCCGCAGCAGCACGGATTATTGAAACAAGAGTGTGAGCGCTGTGTTTGTAGCTCTATTTATTCTGGTATGTACACATGTTGTACCGTAAGACTGGAACGATAAGTAATTTTTTTGATTTCCTCCTACTTCCTTGTGTCCTATAGGTAGATATTAAAAACAGGCTAATAATAGAAAGCGTGTCTTTTCATTTGCGTGCCTTTGAAAGGAGGGAATCATACGTCTAATAAAATGAGCAGAGACACTTTTCCACAAGCAGCAGTGTCACCGCAAAAACTCAAAATCTAAGCAGGTATTTTTAGTCTGGTTTCAAATATCTTCGCACACGTGAAATAAGATAAACCTAACTTGCTAGCAACTTTTCAGCAAAATACAGGAGCTCATTTAAGGCAATAATACCTTAATGTTGATGATGGTGTACTTGTTCCTTTTGCAGATTGTGAAAAGACGTCTTTCCCATGTTGCAAGAGAAATAGTCTGCCAATGGAACCAGTGCTTTTCCACCAAAATTAAGGAATTATTGACTCTATACAAGTTCCTATAACTTGCTAAAAAGTTTGTCTCAGTGCAATTGCTGTGCTACTTGCACTAGAGACTAGACCAAAGCTACCTGAGATTTTGCATTTGCGCAGCGAACGCCCTCTTCACACATTGAATTGAATAAAGACTCGGTTTTACCAAAATGCAACATCATCGTACAGAGTGGATAAAATGATTTACTAAGCAAAAATCGAGTTTTATTATTTATCATTTATTCCCTTAAGTATTTCATCATTTGAGTTATTATGTTAAAATCGAGGGTAGACTTTAGATGAAGCTCGTAGGTGTTATCTGCCCATATAATACTTGAATAACATATTTATGTGGTTAGACAAAAACCAAAACAAAAATTTGCGTGCCTCTTTTTCAAGATAACGTGCAAAAACAAGATAATCTGTGACCAAATCGAAGCAGAAGTGTAATTTATGGTGCAGCTGAGAAAGTACACAATAAGAATAAATAGAATAAGACACGGTTTCATGAGAGAATTTGAATCTAAAGCACCAATCTTATCAATCCGATACTGATACTGACTTGGTATCAGTAATATTGATCGATCCAGCCTGCCTCTACTGCAAAAAAACCAGATTCTGTAGCTGCAAAGAAAGCCCAGTTCAAATGCTGACAAAGCATTTTTTGCAGCTTTTTTCAGCACTGCCTTGGCTGACCTGGGGTGAATTTGCGAGAATGTCCACTCTTGGGAAGATTGCCACCTGTCTTACATGTTTTCCTCTTGCCAGTAATTTTTGTCACTGCAAAAATGATAGACTTCAAATTGTGTGGAAATGGCCTTATGGCCCCAGATTGATTTCCCAGCAACAGTTCATTCTCCATGTCTAAATCCTCAGCTGATGATCAAATAATCAAGGCTATTTTATTGACAAGCCCAAGGCTACTACTTCCTCTTTCATGTCTGCACTGGTCTAATAAAGATGCTTTTGACTAATAAATGGTATAAAGGAATAGCAAATATGAATACAGCCTTGAGCTAAGAGAGAGGAGAAACACAATGGAAACCTAAAGTTAAAAATATATCATCACTAGCAGCTCAGAATGGATTTAACATCTACAGCTGTATCTTAATAATTTACACAATTGGCTTGCATTTCGTATTTTCATAAATCCCCTCGAATGTCTTCCAATTATCCGAGATCAGGTCACAGGGGTAACGATGCAGGAAACAACACGAGCATTCGTCTGGGGTATTCCCAAAACGTTCCGAGACCAGAAAGACGGCACTTGGTCTGGAGGGTTCTTCTTCTACTTTTTGACTTCCTAATACAACATGTAGGAAAAAAACCCCAAAAAGGGGCAATAAGGAGGCCTGATCAGATGCCCAAAATAAAATGTCCAAACAAGTTTATAGCTTGACAAGGTTGAAGAAGTTGGTGACGTAAAAACAAAATTGAAGCTGCAGAACTTTTGGGCAAACAAATGTTCATTTTTTACATATCAAAACTGTCACTATGTTGTGACAGCATGAAATGAGACAGGGAAAAATTGAGCTCCTTTGCCTTTTCCCAGTGCTAACTACAAACAACCAATTAAAGCTGGGAAATGGGTCTTAGCGCTGTCAATCACCCTCCAAGTGGAGCTACTCAACTCCTCCCCCCTTGCTCTGACCTCTGCAGCTCCGCAGAGCCTGTCGTGAATGCCAGGCGAGTTAGCATAGCCACAGACGGCGGCGGATAAACGGTTCTCCTGTAACGACAAGTCGTTTCTCCACCATTTGCACCTTTAGCAGCAGGTACATGGTGATGATTGACAGCGCTCAGGGCCTCCCCCTGGCTCTGACTGGTTGGTGTTGGTCAAACACGGAGCATTTCGTCAGAGCGCCAGAAGGAGGTGGAGGAGATTGATCTTTTTCCAGATCATACTGTCATCTTTTAATCAATAAGTCAAAAAAACACATTTTTCATGAAGGTTAGACACTGCAGCTTTAATTAAAACTCTTACTCACAACAACATATCAGATATGCAAATGGTGAATGATCTGTACTTGTTTAGCGTTTTTATTCAAAGATGGATTTGTAACTTTTCAGTCTCCTTTGTTTTTGCCTATTTGTAGCTTTTTCTCCTGCATCAGAACATATTTAAAAAATGTGCATGTGTTTTATTCCCTTACGTATTTTATCTTCAAACAATGCAAAGGAATAGGATGATAAATCCAAGTCCTGGATGCAGCAGGCTAAAAAAAAAAACCTGCAGCAACAGGAGTGTAAATGCGTAGGCGAGGTTTTGCACACAGGCCTGTAGAAAGCTATACACGCCAACAACACATACACACACACACCCATACACACCCCCCCACACACACACACGCACACGCACACACACACAGAAAGAACCCTGCCAAGTCTCTTATCAGGAGCCCTCTTCCTTTAAGGAAACTATAACCACAGGGTATTTTATCATGATTGTCATTGTCAGTTTGCATTAGCTTTAATTCTTCTTCCTGGGACTTGTCTTCAAATCTGAGCACGCTGACACGACATGCTTAGCCAGTGTACATTTTAAAAACGCCTTAATGAAAAATTTAAAGCCACTCAGATCCTGATTTTGAACACTAAGGCGCAACTTTTAGGCAATTTACTTCCCAATCAGTCTGCTCTACAGAGTGTCTTTTAGGGATAAGGTTTAATCAACAATGAACCTGTTCAAAATGTGAAAAGAAGAAGAGAGCATTGATTTTTTTTTTTTCCCCCATCCACTTTCTTTTTTTTAAATAATTGGATTGCGACGGAGAAGAAATCACATGATAGCACTGCTAATAGAAAAGCAATTAGGCCAGCGCATGTCAGGGCTCTGTCAGAAAACGTGATGCAATCTGACAGACCAGCTGCAGATGGAAATAGTAGCTGATCTACGATAGCAGAGGCGAGTTAAATCTATGCCTGAATGTTTGATGAGATGCTTTCCTGCCCTGCAGGAGTTTCCTGTGTCGGGCTGCAGCTGCGAAAATCCTGACAAGACCTGTGGGTCAGAAAGGTTCTGAAAAAAAAAAAAAAAGAACCTCCTCCGTCTCCTGCTGCACAGAGAAAACAGCTTTCCATGTTTGTTTTCTCCTTGAATTTGCTGATAAGAGGAACTACAGAGTTAGCAGGGGCATAGCAAAGTCAGCCGCTTCCGCAAGTTTGCTTGGTGACTGACAGCTGGGCTCGGCTCCGTTTGTTCCAATGAGATGCTGGCCCAACTAGTTTGGTTCTGTGGACCGTGATGAATTATTCCTACATAGCGCGAACAGAATGCACGAGAGTTGGCGAATTGGAGGAGGAACAACAATTATTGCCCATATGTATCACCCCCCCCACACCCCCCCAGCGAGGGAGACGCGTCCAGCAGGCCGGGCGTTCCCATATGTCAGAGCTGCTCTGTCTGTCTGTTTCTGAGAAGCCTGCGAGTCGCCGCGAGTTACTCACTCTGGGTGAAGCGGGGAGGGTTGTCGTTGACGTCCGTGAGCTTCACAGTGACGGTGGTGGTCCCGGATAATCCACCCAGGTGGCCCCCCATGTCTTTGGCCTGAAGGACCACCAGGTACTGGTCCTGGGTTTCCCTGTCCATATCGGGGACCGCTGTGCGTAAAATCCCTGTAAGGGAAAAAAACAAAACAAAACACAGAAACACACACGTTAAATAAAAAAAATAAAAAAAACAGGCCAAAGTGAATTTTTATGACAAGTTGGAAAAAGCAAGACAGGAGAAGATCAAGACTTATACCTGAGAGACTAAAAGCTTTTGATTTTGTATGTGATTACTTTTTGTTTCAAAATTGTTCTTTCATTTTATTTTTTTGAATGTACACATGCAGAACCACAGAGGAAAATTTTTGCGTCTTTCTTATCCCCACTGTTGGGGGTGCAGTCAATCAGCACCGGCAGAAATGAGCGGCGCTCCTGGACTGACTGCTTTGCAAATGCCAGTTTCCCCATCCCGAGCCGAATGCTCTTTCAGGATAGTTTAGACGTGTGCAGAATGAAGAAAGCAGACTTGGCCAAACATTGCGAATGCAAACGAGCCGGTTTGATACTGAGCTTCACTCCCATTTCATGAGAAAGATGATACGTTGTTGCCAAAAAAGTGATTTCAAAATAAAAAGGCCCACTGTGAAGAACTATTTTTTGTGATTCATTACTTTCAATATGAAAGGGCTCTAAAATGTAAATATGGTTCCCATTCGAGGAAAAGTCCTTCATCTACAGTGAGTCTTCATTCAACCTCATTTGCATTGCTTCATACTGACTGTGTTGTAAACATAACCGAAGTGTTTTCAAACCTTTTTGTGCCACAACTCTATCACTCTGTCAGACAGAATCCCGGGCTAATTACCACGCTAATGATTAAAAATCACTCATTTACTTTTTCCTGGATCAGCAGCGTGCCGTTAAAAATACCATTACCAGATGTTGTGATCAGGCTTGATGGATTAATGCAACGTAGCGGGTTCGCGCCGACGAGTGGGCTTCTGCAAACTACTTCAATGTTCTTCTCCTGGAGCATAAAAACGGCAAACGCAGCTGGCTGGAGTCGCGCCTCGCATGAATTGTTGGAGAGAAAACTCTAACAGACAGCGTGACCTTTTATTAATGACTTATTAACATTTATAACGGCACGTTTGACGGCCCATTATGAGCTGAGAGCGTCATGGCCCCTTTGTTTAAGACTTCATTAAGGCTCAGTTTACACGTGTTAGTAACTCGTTAATAAAATGTTGTGCATTTGTTTGATTTTCACGCCGTGTAGCCTCCAGCTAAAAATGCTAATAATGTTTTCTAAAGGCGTCCAGTCCAGATGCTTTGCAGCTTGTTTTTTTTTTTTTTTTTTTTAATAATGTTATGAACTGCTCTGCTGATTTGACATGTTGTAAAATTATTAGATATATTGTATAACTTGTAACTTCATTGGAGCGATTTGTTGGCTTGTGATTATTTTTACATCTATCTCTAGTTTCGGCTTCATATCCCAGTCTGGATACAGTTCTCATCACCATGGGAGCATAAATTATTTTGATTGGAGAAGTTTATTTTATTTGATTATTTTTTTTTACTATTCTTTATTGTGGACTTTCTTTAACAGAGTCCAAATTTTATAATAACATGCGTTGGTTGACTCTACACCTTGTAGCCTTTTGTAGCTTCAGCATTTTTCTAACTGGATGTCTGAGCACTTTTCTTGGAAGAATGAGATCACTTTAAAATAATTGGTTTCATGGGATGGAAATGGCTTTGAAGCATTAGTCCATAAATTTTAAATAGGGTTAGGGTCAGGACTGTGGGGAGACTCATCAGGAAGCTTAACTTAACTCTCCCAAGATCTGTTTTGACGTGCGCTTTGTAACGTCGTCGTGTCGGAAAACCCAGTTTTTATAATCTGACCTTCACGGTTTCGTTCGAACGGAGAGAAATTGATCAGGAACCACCGAGGTTCAAAATGGCGGGACACCGGTATCACTGGCTGCACCATCTTCAAGCTGGACTGACATTCATAGCAGCCTGTGTTGACGCGCGTAAAGCCAACAGAACTGAAGACCAGCTTAATTTTCATAGGCGTACCTGTCACTTCTCCTATTTTGGCCTGGAAACGACCATATTTTAGCTCCGGTTGTGTTCAGTATTTAAGCCCGTAGAAATTCACCTTTGGTATTGGAAGGGGGAAAAGATCCAGAAGTGATTAAAACTCAATTTTCATTTTTCACTCTCTGTTGTGAAAAAAAAAAACAACAACCCCCACTCCAAAACAATTAGCAGTTTAAAGAAACCATTAAAAGCGCATTCATGTCTGTTAGGTGTGGATGCAAATGTTCTGAGCACGAATGTATGTCAGCAGCTTCGCAAAAGTGTTCATAACTGAATCCATTAGTTACAGCTAATAAAACCCCTGTGTGTAAGTACCTCATTAGAGAGAGGTACCACAACCAGATAATGCAGTTAAGACTAGGAGAGAACTGGACGGTGATTTTGTTAATTCATGCAAACACAACCGGCCACTGAGCCGAGCCGTAAAACTGTCAGCGTTCCTTCGTTGTTATCTGATCATTACCAAAGGTAATAAAGTCATAAAGTACTTCCACGGTAATTAGAGTGCTTTTATTCTGTTTGATGGATAAAGTTCCACTTAGGGATTCACTTTGTTGTTTTTTTTTGTTTCTTTGAGGCTCTTCTGAGACCTTTGGCACTGTGTCAAAAAAAGCACGGTCATCAGGCCGGAGGCGCGGCTCTTCCTCCTGACACGTTGACAGCTTTCCTGACATTTCGGAGACCCTCTGTTTCAATTTGACAGCAACAATATAGGACTTCATGTCTGTTTGACGGCTCGTCGAGACACGGGTTCGGACACGCAAACACAAACACGCTTCCGGCGAACAGCTTAGACTCGACCGGCGTTGGGACGCATGCCGGACGTTCTGGTCTTTCGGTGGTTTATCATTGAGTTTCCAGGTTGAGCTGATTGTAAAGCTAACATTTTTATTATTTAAAATGCTTTATTTATTTATTTTTTTATCCATGTAGTAAAACAGGCGCCTCCACAGTTATCCCGGGTGTAAGGTCTTTCACAATTCTGGCTGAATATTTCACCAATTTTCTTGAGTTCGATTAAATTGGATGGTCTCCTGGCAACGCTTGGCTTTTTAAGTGCAAGCTAACGATCTTCAACCGGGTTCAGCCCTCCGGGGGTTTGGGAAGAGGCTGAACGTTAGCTTGTTGTAAGCACTAAAACATTCAGTTGTCTCCAATTTTCAAGCGTCTGAGTGTTCATTTGAGAGGAAACTAAAGACGGTAAAGGACTCGCTCACACGGCGTTTGGCTTCCATCTGCGAAAATGAACTCAGCGATGGTTGAAGCAGTGAGTTATTTTTTCCAACAAGTAGCTTCTCAGGGACATGAGTGTGTCCAGCAGGACAGTGGAGGCAGCTGGACTTCCTCTCTTGCTTTTCAAATGTGTTTTGGCTCACGCTGACGAAACCTCTTCAGTTAAAATGGATTAAGAGTTCCTGACCTTAGACTCAGCGAATGCATTTACTTACATCGACTTGAGTAGCTTCTGTGGAGGAGGAAAATTTACTGTTTGGAGGATTTTTTTTCTTTAGGAAGTTTTGCTGTTTGTTCCTGTGTGAAATTTACTGAGTCAATTAATTAAATGATGCTGGTTTAGGCCACAAATTCATTAGACACACACCTGCAGTTTTTGTCCAAGTTTTATGTTGAAAGATTTGGATTGTTTTTTTTTTCTTTGGCCTGATTCTATTTTGTAATTATGGTGTAATAATTATTATTTTTTTGTCGTTAAACTACCAAAATTATGTCCCACCAGATGATGTAACTTCCAAATTTCAAATAAGCGATGTTTTGATCATCAATTATGATCATCTTATCAAATATGGTTGTACTGTAACTTGAGTCAGTTTTTCCACAGTTACCTTTTAACTTTTGAGTAGAAATGTGATGAAGTGCCGCTCTTCCCAGAGTGCAATTTTTGATTCTCTACCAGTGATCCAAAACACAGAGACAAAGTGCATTTTGAATCGACAAATCAAGATCCTAAAACAGTCCTTTCCTAAGCCCTGACTTCCAGCTTATAAGAAAATGTGTGGACACCAATTATTTAAAATCCCTGTCCACCTCAGGAAACGAATCGACTTAGAAAAACTACCAGTTCTGGTCAAATATTGAGCCAGGATCATTCTGACGTCAAAGTTAGAAAAGAAGAAGTGCGTGTACATTTAATCTGGGTGGATTAGAGAAAATCTGCAATAAATTCATATTTGTGAAACCCATCATTTCACCCTGAAAACAGAAGAGTTCAGATGATCCGTTAAAAGACCACAATGAATGACATTCCTGTCAAGTTTATGCAAACATTTTCCCACATCTCAACGCACAGATAGAGGAAAAAAGGTTCATGTAGAAGAAAAAAAAAATGAGTCCAGGACAAAAGCCTGACATGCAGACAGAGAGCAAATTCTCATCTTCACTCATCATTGGACATCGATCACCTCCTCTCCGTTGATGACCTCATTCTGCCGCACTTTACGCACGCGGCTCCTTGCTGCTCATGTGACGCGGCCATCCCAGGTAAATTACATTCAACGTTCGTTTCTGAACGCTAATAAACGGATACGTGGACAAACAGAGGAGTGTCCGAGTTCATGACCTGAAAGCAGAACCACAGCGAGACACCGGGGATGAAAATGGTAGCTAAAAACGGGGAGGAAGACGACAGACGTGTCCGGGAAACGGGGGGCGCGTCTGACGACACACAGTCACGGCTACCGCGCGCCGCGTGGCTTTGGGCTTAAACTCCGCATTAGCATTTCAAACAGAGATGCAACTCCCATATGTCAAGGCAATCAATTACTAGATAAAACATGTTGCTGAACAAAACAAAACAAGAGTACTGCCCGATCCAAGAGGGTAATCTAAAACACACATTACCAAACCCCCCCCTCCCCCCTCCAAAAAAACGTCAGATATATTTCACTGTGAACTAAATCCTGAGTGCTTCCTTGCGGGCTGTCTATCAAAGCGACATCTGAAGCGCCAGGCTAAACTTCATTTTCGAGACACTGAGCTACGACTCCACTCGGGGGATGTGGAGCTCAAAAGCAAACAAAAATAAATAAATAGAGAAAGAACGCACCCGCCGCAGAACCATAAAACTTTTTGCCCTTCGGTGACACGCATGCCCTTCGGTGACACGACAGACAGATTCTTTGTCTCTTTTGCAATCCGTTCTGCATTACATAACACAAATTGTTCCTGAAGTCTGCCATAAACATGTCACTTTTTTGTGTTTCATCATGCAGGAATAACATTAGACTGTAGCTTTCTTTGGTTTCGTAGAGCACAGGCACATCATTAAAACATTCAGGTGTTTAACAGAAGTAGACGCAAAAGGAGAGGAATGAATGTGTGTGTGTGTGTGTGTGTGTGTGTGTGTGTGTGTGTGTGTGGTGTGTGTGTGTGTGTGTGTGTGTGTGTGTGTGTGTGTGTGTGTGTGTGTGTGTTTAGGGTGGAGGTGTACAAGTTTCAAGAATTTCACTGAATTTGCACAGAACCCTGGGGGACGTAGGCAGAGGAAAGGCCCCAGCTGAGCAAGGTGGGTGGGATTAACTAACGCACTCATGTTTTGGTTGCCTAGCAACAACCTGTTGAGTAAGTTGCGCAGGAGCAGTTTCAGGTTTCTCCACTGTGCCTTAAAACTGCTTCAAATGAAAAAAACAAACAAAACAACAACAACAGCGTGGAACAAACAACGGAAATGACACGCCACCAGTTGGTCAGAATTTCATACGTTCACAATAATTATCAATATCGACTGATGTGAACTGCTTATTTTGAGAGCTTTAATAATACTTGCTACTTCAGAGCCTTAACATTTAAGATATAAAACCCTAAAAACGACAAAGAGAGGCCAGACATCTATGAATATAACAATGACAGACACCCTGTAGACATATTTAACTTTTCTCAAAATGTCTGCAGGATTTACAAGAGCGCAGAGTTGCTGGTTGGGTAGGAGCCAAACACTTTAATTGGACCTGCATCTTGGATCTTTATGGTTACATGAAAGCAAATTCAAAACATTCCAGTTTCCATGTCGTCAAGAAAGAAGTGCTCTTCATGATCTGACTACTGATTGCATAAGTCTATATACTGATTCAGAAGACTGTTATATTTGAAAAAAATATATAATTTTTTTTTTTATTGCGGAAATTCTGCTATTTGACAAAACGACAAGAGATTGCACTTAAACTGTTGCAACGCATGCCATTTTTTAAAATTGTGGTCAATCATAAAGTGAAGCCACTTTGCTCCATCCCTTTGTCCCCTTTCTTTCTCTCTCGTCACGTTCGTCATTAAAGACCTGTGTTCTCGTGCACCAAAAAATAAATAAATAAATAACCGCAAATTGCTCTAATCCGCTGGATTTGTTGCCGTCGGCGTGCTTTTGCTGCAATTTGCTCTGCTGTTCTCCAGCAGAAACAGAGGGAATAGCATGCGCAAAGTGGGCGCGGAAAAGGGGCGAGATTTTACCACCTAATGTCCCCTCCGCGTGCTTGAACGAGCGCAGGAGGGAGACGACAAGTAGGGAAGACGGATGAGAGAGTGTGACGGGGCAACGGCGGAACGCAGGGGTGGGAAACGCATTAGACACAAAGTATAAGAAAGAAACCCCACTGTGTGTGTGGAACGCTTCCACACACACAAACACACACACACATTACCAGCGTTTGCGTACCTGCGGGTCCTCCAGGCCCTATCCATCCACACAGATATATCCTCAGAGCTGCATCTGTGCACTGATCATCAGTCAAGACTGAATTCACTTGTTTGCTCCTCAGCAACTTGGGCATGTTTGATTTTCTGCAGAGCGTGCAAAGGGGTGTTTGCTTTCCGACATCTGCCCATCCTTTCAGCTTTTCTCCTCACCACCTGTGTGCGTGCACTCACCTGTCTGGGGATCGACGGAGAAGTACTGCTGGCCCTGCACCAGTGTGTACACAAGCTTGGCGCTGTTCCCGTACGTCGGGTCATCAGCATCTGTCGCCGTCACCTGGATTATGGACGTACCTGCAGACGAGGGGAGACAGGAGAGACGAGGACAGGAAATGCGGAAGGGGGGGAAAAAAGGAAAGAGATAAATAAGTGAAGGAGGAGGATAAGAATCAGGAGACTCAACTACGGACTGCACTTTAGGAGCGCGCGGAGCTTCGCGTGGGGACAACCTCCGGTCTTCCCCCTGCTCCGTTTTTCAATCTCTTTCCAGCACCAGTGTGACAAATAGTTCATCTGCCCCGCCACACACATCCCCGTCGTCACCCTGCTGACTCCTGCCAGTCACCCACCTCCTCCCTCCATTCTCTCTGTCTCACTTCATTTCTCTTCATCTCCGTCTCCAATTCCCTCTTGCTCCCTCTCTCAATCAGACCGTCTGTCTCTTCAACTGGCCTCCCTCTCGCTCCCCCCTTAAATCTTCTTTCCACGGATCAGGGAGTGTCAATTTGGCAGGATATCTTCTTCTTATTTATTTATTTTAAATTGTGAGCAAAAATAAGACTATAAGAATATATGAATGACTGTAACCGAAGCCCATTTGTTGTGCATTTGTGCAGATGTGTGTATGCAGAAAAAGAAGAAGGAAACAAAACGGAGAGGCGACCAGAATGAGTGTTTTTCTCTGAGTCGAGGGGAAGCAGGCCGGTGGCAGCCGGTGGTTTATTTGTGATCAATAGCCAGAGAGAGTCACAGCGGAAACAATCAGGAGTGTTTTCCTGCTGGTTAAACATGTGGAAACTGGAATTGGGATGACATGATCCCTCACTGCTGAACCAATTGGTTCGTCCATATTTATCCTCTTTCATCATTACGGTACATTTTTAAGTAACTCCTGTTTAAATGTTTGCCGAGTGGTGGTCACTTTTCCTTTCAGATGTGTTAGCTATGTGGATTTTACATTAAACACTTTACTGTAAAAGCTTCAATTTCCTATGTGGCTTTCCCAGTGAGATTGAGTCCCCACAATATATATGTCATGCTGAATTGACAGCCTTTCTCCACATAAAGAGCTTTTTTCCTATGCTCGATTATGCAAATGATTTAAAAGTAGCTTTGTCACCGAAGTCGCCTGAATCCTGAGCAGGCGACATTGAAAAGGCAAACTGTCTTTTAGCTTGGAGAGATCCTCAGATGAAGCTGAATAAATCAAGATGGGCATCTCCTTCTCCTGGTCAGGAGTTTAGAGTGAAATCCGCTTGTTGTCAGATAATCGTATGGGGACACACAAAACGCCAACAGTTTTATTTGGAGAAGAGACAGAGACTAAAGTCTCTGTTTAAACCAAAATAAAGTGAATTAGCTCAAGTAAAACTCAATATTTTCTTTATTCATAATAAAGATGAAGATTGAAAGCCCTGCATGCAGTTTATGAGTGATCCCAAGACTCCAATAATGATCAGCTGAAATGATCAGAAAGCAGGTTAAACTGCTGGAGACGCTTCAAACATTCAGCTCAGGAGAATGAATCTTCAGTCCAGACACAGCGTCTGCATACTAGCATGAGATTAAAGCTGCAGTATAAAACTATATTCTTTTTGCCTATTTGTGAAAACTGTCGATATGTCATGACAGTATGGTATCAGACAAATAATTTGTAAAAAACAAAAGTCTCCTGCTATCTAGAAACAACCAATCAGAGCCAGAAGGTTAATGTCCAACATTTTAGTATTCACTGATTTCTGTGGCAGCCTGGAGTAGAGAGTGACCAACTGAGGTAAAACTCTGTATCTCTAATGTCTCTCGTTGTACTTTTTCTTTTTTTTTTTTTTCTTTTACCTGTTTTTGTCTGGGAATACGTCTCTGCGTTTGGGGGCAGAGAGTTCCTTTCTTTTCTCACTCTTGTTTTGTTTAGAAATGTTCAAAACGCAAAAAAGAAATCATCATATTCTGCACTATCTTTTTAAGCTAACAAATCATGGACTGCGCTACAGTTTCACAGATGTATTAAATTAAAAAGAGATCCAGATTATTTAAGGACATCGCCGCAATCAGCAGACGCTACCGAAGACTATTTCTTGAGAACAAGCAGCGGCTGTGAAGAAAAACAACCCAAATTTAATTTGAACCCAAAGTCATAGTGTGTCTGAACAACTTTTAAACATTTTATGTGTGTAACACGCTGAACAGTAATTGGGTTTAGTGCCTTAAGGTCAGGTCCTACTTTGATTTTTATGTATCGAGATTACATGTTGACTGATGCTCAAAGTAGCCATCTTGTCTTGTTCACTCAGGGGTTGTGGTTAGCTTGACCTGCTAGGAGTAGCTGTGATGAGTTCAGTGCCTGCATTTTACATTTTCGAACATCCCAGTCAGGCACCGTCAAGCTAAAAATCCTTTGAGGCTCCTGCTTACCGAAATCAGAGAGTGACCGAGAAAGGAAAATTGACTCCGCTTCAAAATATTTGAACGATCTGACTGTGATTTAACGGCATTTTGCTTTCAAAACAAACAAAAGAGAAAAAAACATTAAAAGTTGTATTTTATGTCACGACTCCTAGACTAGTTTTGCTTGCGGAGCACAAAGCCTGCCTTTGTTTCTCGTTATATTGCAGACATTTTTCATGTAGAACTCATCAGCAGATCAGTAAGTTGACATAAATGTCTCTGACAGCAGACGAAAAAAAATCAATCTTTGGGTTCAGACTGTACGATGATGCAGGTTGACGCAACAAGTACAAAGCGGAGGCAAAAAACCCCGATTGGTATGCATCCCGTCGGCCGCGCTTCACAGCCAGTCACACTTCACGAGGATCAAATATTCACGTCGCCACTCGTCCGCCTGCTCTCACTTGGAGGCGTCTGCCCTCCGAGGACAAAGACTCGGAGTCTGGAAATCCCTCGCTTCTGTGTATCAGAATCCCGGGACGTTATTGTCAAGGTTAAACTTTAGATGTGAGTCGTTCTCCCAGAATGCAGATACACATCTGGAGGGATGTTTACAACCAGTCGGGTGAAACCAACACAAAACGCCCCCGAACAGGCGAGCAGGAGGAACTGGCTCCGTTCCAGTGCAGCTTTGCGCGCATATATTGTCGCATGAGACGTCCTCGCCTCCACCTCCATGAAAATCTCATGGAACGAGGCTTTGATGGGATCCTTAGCGCGGCGCTGTCTCCTCGGTCATGCTCGGCGGAGAGCGCTTTGGTAAATATTGAATCGGTGAGTAAATACTGAATCCATGATTGACTGAACAACTCAATCTGAAGACTTGAGCTTCGTTGAGGAGCAGAAGCTCATAAGGCGGTTGATAGGATTACTAAATACCGCTCGCCCGCATCGTCTCCCCAGACTCGGCCCCGGCAGCCTGCAGGCGGGGGGTCATTACTCTGATCTCAATTAAACATTTCTGCACAAGAGGAAACTTGGATGGGGGAAGCACAAAAAAAAAAACACCTTTCAGTGGCAGATGGCAAAGACCCCATGCCAGATTTTCTGAACTTCTCCAAACTAAATACTTTAGGGGGGGAATTATGTTGCATAATGGCTGTTTTTGTAGCAAATTCAAAAGTTTTCCTAAAAGCAACTCTGCCAGACGAGAGTTGAACCCGTTCCTACTCTCGCGGCCCAAGCACAGTTTAAATGAAGACGAGGGCACTTTCAGGACATGCTGGCCTTTTTGTACAATCAACTCTGCAAACGGGATCTGGCTCAGACAGTGATTGTCCTACTAAATTCACACTGCTGCAAGGGTACAAAAATCCACCCGCTCTGCCTTTAGCTCTGATTTCATTGCTGTTGCAAGAGTTGCTATCGGATTGTAATTTTTTTGTGTGAAGGATTAGAGGATTAGATTGACAATCCCGTCACTATGGCCGATCACCATGATGAGCGTTCTGCTGCCGTCTTCAGGTGAAAATACCGATGTGAATAAGTCTGGAAGCCGCGATAAGGTTCTTTCTTAAATGGTCTTAAATTCATATTTATCAGCATTCAAATGAAGGGTTTTGCTTTGAAGGGTTTTGCTTTGAGCAACTGTTTCTGTCTGATTGGTTTATTATCTTTAACATTGTGTTTGTTCGTCATTAGCAGGAATTTTATCTCTGCGTCCCCATCAAGCCTCAACGAAGTCATCAATAAATACTACATAAGTGATCTTTTTCTCAATATGTAATTTGAAAATTCAAAATTACTTTTGAAATGTCCCAGTATCACATTAACTCTATTAAAAATAGAAACACACACTTGTATCGATAGAAAACCATCATATGCAACAGGTAAACATTTGCTAGTTTCTCATCTTTGAAGGAAACAAACAGGAAGTGCTTTTATTTTTGTGATTCTTTTTTTACACCGCAGCTATTAGCGCAGTCTATCAGGAGTTGGTCGATGCGCAAGTTTCAGACTCCAGTCAACACGTCTGCTGTCCGACAGGCATGGAGCTAAACAATGTGTGTTGAATTTGAACGGATTTAGGAGAATCGGTGTGAATCAGAATGCCAACAACGATTAACCAATCCTGCTTATTCTAAAGAACTGACCCCCGTTGGCCCCAATATGCTTAAAACAGAGCCCGCTTTATTAAAGCGGTCGGCGTGTGTGCGTTGGAGCAGGAAAACAATTGGGCGTGACCAATTAATTCTTGCAAAATTTTGAGCTTGTAGGGCGACCCGGTCCAGACGCTGCGGCAGAACGCCGGGATCGTTAGGAGTCAGAAGACATTATTTGTAGCTGGAGGTTTAACGGTTTCAATTACTGGCGGTCACATCAGTTCCTCGACACGTTTCTAAAGAGGATGTCAGCGTCTAAATGAGCACAGAGAACAGTTCAGGCAGCAATTAAGCGCCGTCCCAAAGCGGCAGCAGAGAGCAAGCCGTGCAAACATGAACAGAAAGGAACCCCATCAGGCATACCGTTTTGCTTTTACAGTTTTATGTGTCATTTGTCTGATGAAAAGCGATTAAATTATTCGTGAGGAGGAGTTTACCTTTATTGTTTATGCACGTGGACACAGCATGAACGTTAGAGCAGAAATAGAAGCAGTAGCCTCTAACAATTACATAACAAGGGACGCTCCCCATGAAATCTATCGCCATATTAATGTCACCACCCACATCCTCTGACCTGTGCACAATCACAAGCTGCACATCTTTTAAATTAGTCACTGTAGGTACAGCATGTGGACTCTGTACCGTAACGAGAGACGACAGGCGTCACGCATCCTAAAAGCGGCTTTGGCGGCAACGCCGTTAACGTTCAGATGTTGATCTGACTCGCTGCGGATTCTGTCAGCGTTGTACTTAAATTGGAGTGTCATTTGCATTTTATTCTGCGATGCTGGACAGATCTGTGTTTCTGAGCATATCCAGCGGCTGTTGGTGAACGCAAGGCCGGGTTTTGTGGCAGAAACAGAAAATAAGAAAAAAATGAACTCCACCATCGGACCGCTCAGCTGACGGCGTATTTATATATTGGGAAAAGTATTTAGTATTCTTATCAACTTTTTACATTTGTGTCAACATTTGTATGTTTTCGACATGTAGACGAGGAAAACAGAAACCAAACCAGAACTGAGACTAGATTTCTGATGTCGCAGCAAAGTAAAAAAAGAGATTTTTTTTAGAATAAAATTACAAACGTGTCATATCCCCACCCTGTTGTTAAATCAATAATTAACTGCCAACTAGTCAGAACTATTGTTAGTTATCCTTAACAAGAAGCAATTAGTTTCATCGTTTGAAGCCTTCATTTTGTAATTACTTAGCTTACCTAAAAAAAAAAACATAAAACATGTAGATGTGACAGGAAAGTGTAAAAAAATTAAAAAATTTAAAATTTCTTACAGTTCAGCTTGTGTTAAATTCACAACTGGCTACATCTTGTTCCTCTGAACGTGTGGCTGCAAGTTGTTTGATTTCAGGATAAAACGCTAAAAACAAGACATCGATCTCCGAGTCGACCGAGTCGACATCTGTTTCAGGCTTGAGTTTCTTCTTTTTAGGCTCTGAAAAGTAATCTGCAAACATTTACCCGTGTTGGACTGGCAGGTGTTAAAATATATCCCTGCCTTTTCTGTGCAGATTGGATCGCCGCCGCACGTCTTCAGAAAAGCTTTTAAAGCTGCCGGGAACTAAAAGCAGCACACAAGCAGCAATTGTCCAACTGAAAAAAATATTTAAAAAAATAAAATAAAAAAAACTTTTCACTTGTGTTACATTTTTTTTAAGCAGTCGCTGCAAGAAATAAATGGCAGTGAAAGAACAGATTTGCCTGTTTTGCTTTTTACAATATTTCTTTTTAGGATTTTGGCACTTAAATGTTTCAAATCACCAAACAAACAGAAATATCAGACAAAGACGGGGCCAATAAACACAACCTGAATGTATAAAGTTACTGGTGTGTCACGTCTTTAAACAGCTGAGTTCAAATCCTTTGGCCACACTCAGGCCTGTTCTCAATTTAGAAGAAAAAAACACTTTAAAGTGGAGTGGAAACCATCAGAAATTATACAGGAAGTTATACAGGAACTAATTATTTGTGATCTATTAGTCTGAGAAATGTGAAAAAGCCATTCTCTACCTTCTGGTTGGGTCGCCCAAAGAACAGCATCAGAATTTGATTCAAGTCAGGACTTTTGACTAGGCCACTCCTGGTTTTGTTTTGGATCGTCGTTCTGCTGCAGAACCAAAAGCGCATTTCAGCTGCAGGTCACAAATGGATAGCGGGGCGTTCGCCTTCAGGACGTTCTTTAGGAGAGAGTACAATTCATGATTCCATTTTCCCGCAACAAGTCTCCCTCCCCCCCGGATCCCGAGGCAGAAAAACAGCCACGGGCTATTGCACTATCACCGCCATATTTCACACAATATTATAATTTTCTGAAATGCTGTCTGCTTTTGCTAGAGCTGAAGGGGCACAAACCTCCCCACAGTGAGAGGCATTAACTCCAAATGGTGAAAACGTTTGGTGGAACAGCAGCGAACCGTCACAGGAGCGGACGACCAAAACGATCCCAAAGCGCAACGACGACTCATCCAGGACAACGAACCGCTGGCCTCACTTTGCCTCAGTTAAATTGTCTATGAACAGTCCACCGTTGGAGACGAGCCAAAAATGACCCGGAAAACCAAAACCGCTGCTGAGCAAAAGAAACATAAAGGCCTGTCTCAGTTTCTCCAGAAGGCATCTTGATGGTCTCTGAAGGTTTTTGGGTGAAATACGAATGTGATAAATTGTACTGTTGATCAGGCTTTATTACTTGACAATCTAATGTATTTGATTAATAGCAATATAACACCGAGAACATGTTTCCTCATCATCTGTCCCTTCCTGCTGCATCTGAGCCTGGACTACGTTTCAGAAATGAGAGGATCAGCGATCAGGAAGCAGAAATGGGTAAGAAAAAAAATCTTGTTGACTTTGTTTTAGCTTAGCGAGAAAAAAAAGAAACGAAACCATCTACTTTAACTTTTGTCATGCAAAATAAGATTTATTTTTTTCATTTAGAATTTGAAAATAATCATGTTATAAAGAAATGCACAGACCAGAGATCAGATTCATCCAGTTTTCTAATGAGTTTTCAGGATGAACATTTCCTTTTCCTTCCATACACCAAACGCCAACATACCAAGAACTTCCGGCCATTTTTCGGTCTGCATCGACATCAACCGAAATTATGCTCTTTCATGCGCGTTTTTCCGAAGTATCATAAAAAATATCAGATAAAATTGAGCACATATGCTTTCATGCATAAATGATCTCCTAATCTATTCATCCGCAGTCAGACTCAGAACCGCAACGTCTATCAAAGAACCCGCAGAACAGAGTTTTTCTCTCTCTCTTTCTCTCTCTTTTATGTTTTGCAATCCAAGTTGTCATTATTGCAACCATCAGGTGAAATCTAAGAGGCACTGCAAAACGGTAGCAGCTAACAAGCGAGTTGCTTTCTATCCAGCACAAAAGGTACATTTGAAACATACGAAAGAAAATATATATATAAGCTGCTTGAAAGGTCATTTGAAACCAGACGCAGAATTTAAACTCTTGGTTTTTATGTCGAGTTTCCTCATCAGCATCCGTTTCGAACATCATCGGGATGTAAGTGCGTGTAGAAAATGTTTCGTATTGCAGAAGGAATCCTTGTAGGCATCAATGTTATGGCGTTGCTTCATTGCATATAACAGATGTGTAACTCTCAAAACGTCATTTCTAAAGACATTCACCAAAACCATCTTGTGTTGCAAACAATGGTTAATGCCCCTGCTTAAGTGTTTCTAATAATAGGTCTTTTTATTACAGTTAACCTAATACAGGCTTTTAAAGATCCAGCGCCAAGTTCATTATTGATTTATTTTACTGCCGGTAAGAGCCGCGCCGTGGGTTTTTGTTTGTCTTTCTTCCGTATTTTACAGGGGGTTTTTTGCCTCTTTTTTTTTTCCGCCACAGAGGACATCTTTGTGGAGGCTAAAAGGCTTTCGAACAAAATGTCGTCAGACAAGTCAGCCCCCTCTCAGACAGAAATAATAAAACATACTGTCTCGCTGCGCTCAAGTGGAACATCCATCACTTTGGCGCTCGACGGCAGTCGCTGGCCGGTGCTTTATTTTGATTAAACAGTAAACTAATAAAATGCTACAGCCTTATTTGGTATACAGAATGTAACTTCAATAGCCCCGCTGTGTCAGGTTAAGTTCTTATCCCTGTCACTGAGATTATTTATCATTTCGGTTTTGCTCTCAATGCTCAGGCGCGCTGCTAAAAGTGGTATTTAAGATTGAAAAAAAAAAAAGAAAGAAAAAGCCAGAAAACAATTCAAGGAAAGAATTTGTCTGCTGGTTGAACATTACACCACTTGTAGCAAGATGTTCAAGTTAATTACATTTAATTCCTCTGCTTTATTAAGTATATTTGTATCAGGGGTGATTCTCTCACAGTGGGTAGTTGTCTTGCAATCGGAAGGTTGCGGGTTCAATTCCCGCCACATGCCGACGCGCCCATGGGCAAAGCACTCGACCCCCAAGCTGCCCACCGATCTGCATGTCGGCGTATAAATGTGACTATAATGCACATTGAGTGGCCATCATGGCTCTGAAAAAAAAAATATATATATATATATATATATATATATATATATATATATATATATATATATATATATATATAGATATATATAGATATATATAGATATAGATATAATATATAGATATATATAGATATAGATATATATATATTTATATATATCCAATACCATATAAGATAGAAAATGCATTACATTATTTTTGAAAAGTAACATTTTCAATTGTGACTTCAGTGATAACTTCATCATCCTCTCCTTGTTTATGCCAGCTAGTGCCGTGTGCACACATGTAGGTGTGGAGATTTGAAAAGTAACGGTAAACTCTGTTCCTAAAAAGATACAAATTGTTGCTGCGATCAAAATTTCTTCATTAAAGGCATAAAATGCAGCGATGTTGCACAAATCTCCCAATCCTACTTCCAACGCCTTGCTGATGAAACAAATTATGCTCGTTTTTGCCATGATTGATTTTTCAGTACATTTCTTTAACAAACCCAAATTCACACAGAACCCACCTCCCCAAAATCCCCCATTCCAGTACCTATATTTGCCATCTCAGGCACCGTGGCGCTGTAGGGGCCTTCATCAAAGACGGGAGGGTTGTCATTGATGTCCTGCACCCGAATTATGAACTGTGACGACGGCTCCAGGGGACGTTCGGTCTGCCTGTCGGTGGCCGTGGCGATGAGACGGTACTCATCCTTCTCTTCCCGGTCCAGGGGTTTGGTGACGTGAATGTTGCCCGTTTTCTCGTCAATCACGAACACTGAGCCCGCCCCCTCGCCTCGCAGGATATACTTGGTGCGGCCATCATTCCTGTCCATGTCAGTGTGGAGCTAGGTGAGAAGAGGCGAGAGGGAGCAGGGGGAGGTCGGGAATGGAAAGGATGACAAGCGAAGAGGAGAACAGGAATGAGTGGAAATTGAAAATGTAAGGCAGTGAGAGGTGGGGTAAGATAAGAATACAATGGGTGGGAAAGAAAGACAAGAGTAAACACCAGTTAAAAATTAAGACTGCTTTTCCAGACAGTCAGGCAGTGAAGACAAAACAAGCAGATTATCCTCTGCATGCCTCCGGGATATAATGAATTTAAGCAAAAGCAGAGAAAAGAAAAGCAGACAATACCTCGCTCTCCCTCACAATGCTTTTTTTTTAAATTATTTTATTCCTTCTCGCAGTCATTATTTGGTGCTTCATGTTTCTATTTCTGCTGCATGAGCAGCTGTGGACCTGGATCTCCTTAATCTTAAAAATATCCCGTACACAAACTCCGCTGCTCACACTTTGAGCCATTCTTCGGTTCCCAGCAAGAGTGGACAGAAAAACTGTTTGTTCACAAGCGGGGTGCTGGCGATTTCATGAAGGCGCCGTATCAAAGGGATAACGAACAGCAGGCCAATCAATTATTCCCTAATAGGTGTCTATGAGTGAGACTGGAGGGGTGTGTGGCGGTGGCGCGCTCGGTATCGATCACAGCCCCCGTGTTGCGTTTTATTAGAGCAGTGCCTGGCGGGATGGCAAAGGGGCCGCCGTCCTCTCACGCGGGGGAGAGGTGATATGAGGGAAGGCTCCACGCCGTCCTCAGACCCACAGCGAGAGAGACGAGTCAGCGGAACCCCCCACTCGCTCTGACATGGATGGAATAGCAACTGTGACCAAAAAATAACGAATAAATGAAAAACAAAAAGAAAGCGGTAAATTTGCCCCCACTCTGTGGTAAGTGTGACACTGCGACTTCAGATGCAGAGGAGAGGCAGCTGGGGGAAAGCATTGTTGCATGGCAACAGCTAAGCACATTTGCTAAATGAAATGAGAATGGATACTGTGAACGTGAATGTTCATTTACTTTGAGGACTGCCATTTTTCTCAGGGGCGGGGGGTGGGGGGGGGCGGGGGGGGGGGGGGGGGGGCGTGTTGGGGTGGGATGGCTCGGCTCATCGTCTGCCACCTTCCCGGGGTGCAGACGATGAGCACGGATGTTGACAAGGTTATTTGTACCAAGCAGAGGCTTCAGGTCCAGAATTTTAAGTGAAAGCTAAAGATAAAGCTAAAGCTAAAGAGTGATAAACATCCCGTTTTTTTAAAACCTTAAAGCCATAATTAGCCTGCTCATTAACATTTGATGGGGGAACGGGTGTGCTAGAGATCACGGTAGGCCGACTGCCTTTATTTAAAAATCGTCTGAACCTAGAACTTTGTGTGAATATAGCCTTCGTACACTGCACTGTGCACAAGTTGCCACTGCAGGAAGAAGACTCAAAAGAAAAAAGTCCAAAGGTCACCAGATAACAAAGTATTACCACTTTGTTGTATCTTTTTGATAGTCGGCGTTAGCATATGACATACTAAACTAGTAAATCTTGGTAGGGAAAATAAATGAAAGAGAGGTTTGGTGGACTTTACACGCAGAGATTATTATCCGTGATCTTGACCTTCCTGAACACTAATAAGATGTGAAAAGCAGTTTGAAACCTCAGTTTCATAACAATCATATTTTTGTTTCGTCAATCAATCCAGCTAATTTACGCAGCACATTTCAGCAAGAGAGAAAATGAAAGAAATGAAAATCTTCAATGGCAGTTCAGAGCTTTAACAAAAAACGAAAACATCTGCTGCTGAAAATCAGCCAGGAGCGGTGTCAACCAAGTTGACCTGACGACAAACATATTTCAGCAGATAAACTAATAGAGATGTAAAAACAAAAAAAGCAACAACAAAAACCTCTAAACATTGAAAAACTGGGTGGTTTGCTAAACTGGTGGAGCTTAACAATTCCTTATTTCAACCCTGTTCTCGGTAACCAAGTTTTATCGGGACAATTAATACGACCACAAAGCGTTGCCTATGATTGCATAATGTGCAACAGAAGGAAACAGATGATATGGTAATATAACAAAACAATAGCCAAAGGTTTTGAGAATTTTCTACAAAACAAACACAAATAAAGAATAGCTGGAACAATCCTGTCGTTCTATTTCTTTTATCCATTTTGCTGATGCTGGTGGGTTCTTACAAAAACAACTAGTCGCCGGCAGCTTTCTGCTTCTCCAACACAGAGCACATAGAAAAACATTAACTATGATGAGAAGCTTGCCTCCAAGGTGATTTGGCCTGAAAGAAATATTTCCAACAGAAAAGTTTTGGATTGTCATCCCAGCAGCTCTGTTCTTCGGTTTTCCGTCGGACACTTCAACAACTTGGTGAAATAAAATGAAAGGCTGTGGCAGACTTCCACAAACACTCTAACCTCTCGACTGTGGACAAAAGTGTGCAAGATCAATTTTCTGGAAATGGTTTCTGAAAGACAAATTCCCCGACTGTTGAATTATTGCTTCCGTCTGCACCGGCACAGGTGTGTGAGGGCCGCCAGCGGGTGGCGCTGGACGGCACCCGCTGTTGGTGCAAGGAAAGGACCTCTGACGGGAACTTCTCACATAAAATGAATTCGGAAAAGTATTGAACTTTTCTGCAATTTTTTTGTGCCCCAGCTGCACACTTCACCGTTTCATTGATTTCATGTAACAGACGAACACGAGGCGGTGCAAAATCGTCAAGCCAAAGTAACAGGATGCACAATTTCCAATAAATTTGGCAAATCAGAATTCAAAGGTAACTGGTGGGGATTTTCATTTATTTTATTCGCGTGATAGCACAAAATAAAATAAAACAAAATGCAATAATTTAGCTTTAAAAGTCCCTAATCAGTAATACTCGATCTCTCTGCTCCGTCTGCTCTTTTCTCTGATAGTAAAGCGGGTGCTTTGCAGGTAAAGTTATCAAGCTATATAGATATTTCTTATGCTCACATTTTTCCCTTATTAGTGTCCGCTTGTCTTTTTATTCCTTTTATTGTATTATCTTTTGTTCTAAAGGAAGCATTGGGCCATGTTGAGCGCACACGTATCGACCCGTCGCAGCAGGGAAAATCACAGGTGTATCGCATCGCATTAAAGATGCTCTATTTCTGTGTCCCACCGAGTCCTAGCAGCAGGAAAGTTTGCCTGCAAGTACTGTATCAGTGTTGTGGAAGTAAAGGAGGTGCAAAAGAAAAGAAAGTATAATTAATGTCATTATTTACACCTTCGGTACCCTGCTGTGCTCTGCCTAAAGTGTCTAATATGTTAAGGAGGATCGTCACCCTGCAGGCTCTGGTTCTACTCTGGGTTTTTCTTTGTGACAATAGTGAGAACACTGCTGTTTTTTTAAAAAAATAAAACATTTTTCTAAAGAAGCATTGTATTAGGTTTCACCCCTTTTTTTAATATATAAATTGGTGCTATATTAATACAGCAGAATTGAGGTGAACTGAATTGATTTTCCCTCCCCACCAGGGACCCGGTTGCAGACTATCCATCTACTGCTGAGCCCACACCGAACAACAAAGACAAGACTTAATATTTTTACAGTAATAAAGCTGATGAATTGTCTCTCCGTGTGCATTTGTTTTTATGGGAAGTCCTGGTTCAATACTCCGGCCCTAACTGAGCGAGAGCTGCAATCGTTCAGGACAAAAATGAGGCCCATGCCTCATTTTCGCTCCACTTCAAAAACGCAAAGCAATAATGGCGCCAGAGAGGCTGAGAAAATGCAATGAAACGCTGAACAAAACTCATCTGCTACGTTATCTGTTTATCTGCATGTTAACGTCAGTAGAATCTTAGTGTATTTGAGCATCTTGAGGCGGTGAAGACTCCCTGCTGAAGTTTACACCAAACAACAGAATATCGGTGAAAGCGGACCATTATTTGAAAATAAAGTCGCACCAATCACTCCCAATGACGGCGGTGGGACAGAGCCCAGACCCGAGAGGGAAACAAAGGTGGAAAACCTGCGTGTTGCATTTCTGTGGTTCACAATTTAAAATGTCAAGAGCACGTCATTCTACAAGTTTTATGATATTTTTCACATTTTAGAAAGCTATCGGCAAATGCATGCTACAGGCTGAGTGAGACGAGACGCTTTCTGACCCACAACATGCTGCCAGCAGCGTTGCTAAGCAGAAAACAGAGAATCGGATACAGAGAATTGTGCCGACTTAATGTCAACACAAAAAGTGAATGCAGTGGTTGCGCTAGCAACACTGAAAGGCTCGTTTTCATCCTAATCTCCAGTAACAGTGGCTTGTGCAGTCCAAACAGAGATACATTTCCTGTAAGTTTGGAGTGAAGTCGGTCTGTATTCACACCAAACGTGAACTACGCCAAAGTTTATTTGGGAGCTGATTGAGAACACCTCAAAAGAAGAGTGAGTCTTGGTCCGGTTGTTTGGTCCGCAGCAGGCTGGAGCGTACAAAAGGTCCAGGGAAATACACTCCGGTCTGTTTAAATGTGTCGGAGGTGAACACACCACTCGACGACAAACTGGAGGTGCCATAGTAAAGTTTTCATCAAAAGCTCAACAAGAGGACAAATATGGTTGACTCTGGTGATTGCAGAAAAACAAATGCTTCATGAAAAGATCATTAAAAAAAATAAAGATCCTCTTCATTAGACTGTTTTCAGTCAGAGGCTGTGATACAGACAGCTACAGGAGCTCATCACTATCTATAATCACTCTTTGAAGAAGAAACTCAGACAGTTTGAGTTGCAACATTTATTTGAGACTAAAGTGAGTCTTTCAGAAACTGCTGATCTACTGCAATTTTCAAGCACGGCCATCTTGGGTTTACTAGCAAGCATGTCACAAAAGGGGAAAAAAGAACAATAATCTGACAAGCAGCGTTTGTGTGGACACAAAATAAAAGCCTGACGATGTCAGAGGTCAACGGAGGACGGGCAGGCTGGTTCGTGAAGATAAAAAGGCCGCAGCAGCTTAAATAAGCGTTTATTATGGGGAA